CCCTATGACTTGAATTTGACAGTGCATTCTTAAATATGATACCAAAAGAATGGTCAATAAAAGAAAAAAAGGTAAATTGGATTTCATCAAAATTAAATGCTTTTGTGCATTAAATGCTGTTATCCAAAAAGTGAAGAGATGACCCACAGAATGGGAGGAAATATTTACAAATCACATTTCTAAGGGTCTAATATTCAGAATACATACAGAACTCTTACCTAACAGAAAGACAAACAACCCAACTAAAAAATGGATAGAGGACTAGACTACAAAGACAATTTCCCAAAGAAGACATACAGGTGGGCAGAAGCATGTGAAAAGATTTTCAACATCATTAGTAATTACAGAAATGCAAAGACTTCCCTGGTGGTCCAGTGGTTAAGAATCTGCCTGCAAATGCAGGGGACATGGGTTCAATCCATGGACACAGAAATGGGATCCCACATGCCAAGGGGCAACTAAGCCCCTGTGCCATAACTGCTGAGCCCCTGCTCCACATCAAGAGACGCCACCTCAAGGAGAAGCCTGCACTCTGCAACTAGAGAGTATTTGTCATTCGCTGCTACTAGAGAAAACCCATATGCAACAACAAACACCCAAGGCAGCCAAAAATAATAAATTAATAAATAATAAATAAAATTATTTAGGCAACACTTCATACCTACTAGGATAAGTATACTTTTTAAAAAGAAATAATAACAAGCGTTGGTGAGGAGTCGACAAAATTGGCACCCTTGTACATTGCTGGTGGGAACGCAATATGGCGCAGTTGATGTTGTAAACACTTAAACATAGAACGACCAGCAGTTCCACTCCTAGGTAACTACTCAGTTGAAAATGGGTACCCAAACACACAACTGTGCACATGTTCACAGCTACACACTCACAAAAACCAAAAGGTGGCAGCAACCAAAACACCTATCAGAGGATGAAGGATAAAATGCCTCCATCCATGGAGTGTTACTCAGCCACAGAGGGATGCAGCCTGACACAGGTTACAGGAGGAACCTCTAACAGCAGTCTCAGTGAAATAACCAGACACTAAATATCATACAGTGATGATCCTGTTTACACGAAATGAAATATCTAGAACAGATAAATCCAGGGACCAAGAGGGAGAGTGATTGGAAAATGCTAACAGCTGTGGGGTCTCCTTTTGGTGTGATGACATTTGGGAACTAGTTACTGGTGGTAACCAGTAGCAAATTATTGTGAATGAGAGAAATGCCACTGAATGATACACATGAAAACAGTTAATTTTATGTTGTGTGAATTTCACCTAAATTAAAAACAAATAATGGAGGTCTGTCGAAAGGACATAGGAGCCAATTGAAATAGCTCCCAAAGGGCAAAGGTCAATCTGAGCAATACAATAAATAATGATAAAATAAGTACTATAACTCATAGAACAAGTTAAATGTGTAAGATTCCATATTGCTATAAGGAATAAATAAGTTAGTGGGGGAGAAGACACAGCTCTTCCTTACCTGGAAGTGAAGTGAAGTGAAAGTTTCTCAGTCAGGTCCGACTCTTTGGCCACCCCATGGACTATAGACTGTCAGGCTCCTCCGAGGAATTCTCCAGGCAAGAATACTGGAGAGGGTAGCCGTTTCCTTCTCCAGGGGATCTTCCCAATCCAGGGATCGAACCCAGGTCTCCCACATTGCAGGCAGATTCTTTACCATATGAGCCACCAGGGAAGCCCCTACCTGGAAAACTCTAATAAATACAGAAGGAATGAAAGAAAAAGAAAACACCAGTAGGCAAAGAGCATAGTCGTCCTGGTCTGAGCTCAAGGTGGAAAAGAATTTCCAGACATAGAGTATTTCAGAAAGGAGTGAGTTTATTCAGAACAAAGAGTGGAGATGATAAGGGCACTTCAAGCACAGCAGGCCAACCCCCTGAAAGACCAGGGAGAGCCCACTGTTAAAACTGCAGGCAGGCTCAAGGGAGAGCCAACCCCTTCCCTGGGCTAGTAGCCAATTTTTATAGTCTCAAGACAGAAAACATTCCTGCTGGAAGGCTGGCATTAGGTGACTGGTTAGCGTTGGGGGAATGTGTAATTTCCTCGGTTCTGTCTCAACACAGCAAAAATTTGAAGTGACGGATGGACCTGTGTTACAGCCCCATGTAATTTCCTCAGACAGACCAGTGTTATAGCTCCATGTTACAGCTCAGTTTTATTTAGAAAGCAAAGGAAAATATATCCTTGAGGTGTGAGGGCAGGCTGACTCGAAAGATGTGAAGAGAAGAGAAGCCCCCAGTCCTTCTAGGCTTCTTCCTTTTATACATTTGTCTCCTCCCCCTGAGTCTGCCCTATGTAAATTGGGCTAGCCAGGAGTGAGGTTTGTTTTACCTGAGGTCCTCACTCTGGTCCTGGGACATTCCTTTGTTCTATTTTCGTGGGCTTTTCCCTTCTTTGTCTTTTTGCCACCGCCATTTTGGATTGCTTTTTCCTACTCTAACTACCTAACAGTTAGGGCGGGTATTTTTTACCTAATATGGGGCTTGAGAACTGGCTGGTTTAGATCCAAGCGGCTCATGGCAACGGTTGCTCTGGGGTTCAGTCAGTTCTGGAGATGACCTTGGTGCAGGGCTCCACACTTGTAACCTTGGTACAAGGCTTCACACCTGTGATCTTGGTAGGGGGCTCCACAACAGTGAGAACTGTAGACAAGGCCCATGGGTAGATGCTGAAATTAGTGATGAGGATGTGTGATGAGAAAGAGGATGTTGTCAGAGTCTCTAAGTAGCTTCCTACTGGATATTTATTGATTATAGTGACTTTACTGTGGAGAAATCCACCTTACCATGATATCAAGGTGAACGTTGCTGGCCAAGAGACAGATGGATGCTGTGTTATCCCCATTATGATGCCCAAGGACACAGCACTTCTTGCCAAAATGTATGAGCTCATTGTAATCTGGAGAAAACATTAGACATGTCCAAGTTAAGGGGGAATCAACAAAATAACTTCAGAAGTGTCAAGGTCACGGGCAACAGGCAAACCCTGAATATCCAGGACTGACTGGAATGGACACAGGGTCATGACGACCAAAGGTCATGTGGGTCCGGGGCAAAGGGCATTATGGGAAAGCCACACACACCTGAGTAAGTCTTGTAGTGAACAGTGCTATGTTCATCAGCTGCCTGCTTTTCAGAATCTTGTATGGTTGTGTTAGTTGCGAGCATTAGGAGAACCTGGTGGTGGTGTTCAGTTGCTCAGTCATGTCCAACTCTTTGCGACCCTGTGGACTATAGCCTGCCAGGTTCCTCTGTCCATGGAGTTTTCCAGGCAAGAATACTGGAGTTGGTTGCCATTTCCTTCTCCGGGGAATCTTCCTGACCCAGGGATTGAACCTATGTCTCTTGCATTGCAGGTGAATTCTTTACCATCTGAGCCACCAGGGAAGCCCAGGAGAACCTAGGTGGAGGTTATATGGGAACTCTCTCTACTAATTTCTCAACTTTTCTGAGATCTTAAATTATTTTCCAAATAAAAACCAGGACACACACAATGGGGCATCACTACCCACTCACTATCTTTATTTTTTTCTTTTATTCTTTTTATTGGAGTATAATTGTTAGCTTTATAAAGACCAAAATAGGGACGTTCCTGATGCGGAGCTGACTCATTTGAAAAGACCCTGATGCTGGGAAAGACTGAGGGCAGGAGGAGAAGGGGACGACAGAGGATGAGATGGTTGGATGGCATCACCAACTCAATGGACATGGGTTTGGGTGGACTCCAGTAGTTGGTGATGGACAGGGAGGCCTGGTGTGTTGCGGTTCATGGGGTCACAAAGAATCAGACAGGACTGAGCAACTGAACTGAACTGAACTGAACTGGTGGTCCAGTGCTCCCAGGGCATAGGCCCCTAGTTCAATCCATGGGCAGGGAACTAGATCCCACATGCTGTAGAAACTAAGAGTTTGTGTGCCCCAACTAAGAGTTTGAATGCCACAACTAAGGATCCCACACTATGCAACAAAGATCCTGTGTGCCACAACTAAGACCCAGCACAGCCAAAGAAATAAATACACATTAAAAAGACTGGAAATCCCTAGTGTTAACCAGGAGGTAGAGCAACTGGAGGTTTCACACCTTGCTGGTGAAATATAAAATATGTAAACTATACAAGAGCCACTTAGGAAAATGATCTGGCAGATATGACAGTGTCAGTCATATTCCATACCCCACATCCCCTAAACTCCACTGCACCCAGGTCTTCAGTTAAGATAACTGGAAGCACAGAAACACATAGCCCTGAATATGCTTGCTGGTAGCAGCTCATCCACCAGGCAAACCCCGCCCAGCGTCCACCAGCAGGGAAGGAAGCACAAGCTGAGTGGTGGGTTAGGTGCTGCTTGGGGGTACAAGGCAGTGAACTGCTGAAAGGAGCAGCACCCTGGAAGGATCTGGACCTCCTTATGCTGAGAGAACAAGCCTGACATGCAAGGGGATGGACAGCAGGATTCCATTTACATGAAATCCAGAAACAATGAGACTCCAGTGAGTGGATGGGGCAGGGAGGAGCGGCTGGGGACGTTTCAGCTATACATTTGTTGACTCATCCGACTGTACTCTAGAAATGGAAGCATTTCACTTTAAAAATCATACTTCAATAACCTTTTCAAAAGGTAGATAAAATTAATACATTAAAAAGCAAGAACAGGGACTTCCCTGATGGTCTAGTGGTTAAGACTCCATGCTTTCAATACAGAGGGCATAGGATCAATCCCTGGCTGCGGAACTAAGATCCCACATGCTGCATTGAGAGGCCTCCCCCCACCAAAAAAAAAAAAGAAGAAAGATATTAACACAACACTGTAAATCAACTACAACATTGTAAAAATCAACTACAACATTGTGTATCAACTATACTTGAATAAAATAAATTTTAAAAAGCAAGAACACCAAGAATACTTCTGGAAAATGGAAGTCCTGAAGGGGTCCTCGCCTTACGGAGGGTAGAGCGTCTTCACACCCGGAGCTAAAGCAGCGCGGAGCAGCCGAGGGCGGAACAGAGGAGGACCCCCTGTGAACTCCTGGCACAGGGCGGCTCAGACTTCCCGGGGAAAGTGCAGGTACTTTCTGAAGGAAGAGCCCTGCCAACCCCCTGGACGCTGGGAGCGCAGGGCCCGCGCAGCCTCAATTCACCGCGCGGCCAGCGGGTGGCGGTGCTGCCGACCCCGACGGGCAGCAGCCGCTCGCCTCCTGCTGGCGACTCTCAAAGGCGCGGCTTCCTGCAGGTGCACGTGGAGGCAACTCTCCCCGCGATGCCCCGAGTTGCTAGGAACCCAGAAGCTGAACGCAAGGCTGGTCCTTCATCCATGGGCGCTACCTCACAGCCTCCACGTGTACCCTCAGGCCAGAGTGGGAAGCAGTTACTAGGCTGCCTCTCTGAGCACGGGGTGGGGGGAACAGCCCCTCTCCAGCCCTTGAAGCTGCCTGTGCGGGAAACCGGAGCCTTGGACCACGGAGGGGCCTAGGGCTGAGGAGTAGGGAGCCGGTTCATCCAATACACTTTTTTTTTTTTTTTTAGCGCGTTTATAGCCAAAGATAAATCAACGATTAGGAACGAGGAGCCCCATTTTCAGCAACGAAGTGTTTTCAGTCACTGGAAAGGCCTTCTCATTGAAAAGATGGAAAATCTGTATGAAATACAGAAAGCGTCCTTTTAAATGCATGGCCAAACTGAGAGAAAGAACAGGAGGGAAATAGCAAGCCCAAACATAATGAAATCGGAATCATAGGGCTTCCCTGGTGGTCCAGTGGTTAAGAATCCACCTGCCAATGCAGGGGACACAGGTTCAACCCCTGGTCCTGGAAGATCCCACATGCAGTGGAGTAACAAATCCTGCGAGACACAACTACTGAAGCCAGCGCCCCCAAGGAAGAGTAACCCCTGCTCTCTGCAACTACAGAAAGCCCTCAGGCAGGAATAAAGACCCAGGGCAGCCAAAATAATAAGCCAATAATTTTTTAAAAGGGGGACCATAAGAGGGGGCTGAGCCCCAGGATGTGCCTGTGTGTTGGAGGAGCGGCAGGAGGAGGGGACAGGCAGGGAGGAGTGGACCCAAGCAAAATGTGAGGTTAACTGCAGGTCAGGGTAGGGGGTGAGGCTGAGGACACCACTGGGCTTATCAACAGGGTGGGATTCTGTATTCATTCCCATTTCTCCCAGCCCAGTGGGGGCCTAGCACTTTAAAATAACTACATGTCAAGTGAGTAGATTCTACCCGTGAAGACTTCTGGCTACTCAGGCTGAAGGTTTACAGAGGAAGGAACTGGGGACACAGAATGAACAGGACAGCCCAGCTAGCTGACCCAGAAATGTGTCCTGGAGGAGTAATCCTAATCATGACACATCAAAGAAAACATCTGAGTCTGAAAGGAAACAGACTCTTGACTCTAAGGAAACCAACAGAACTGTGAGATTTGGCATAACTTTTTGCACAAAGAGAAAAGAAGGAATTCCAGAGCTTTCTTCTGGTTTCACTAAGAAATTGCACAGGTGCCCATAAGAAATAATAGATAACTTATTCTTTTTCTTTTTTAAAAAATAAAAACAATTCCATAGCATCTGTTGTCATTTGACATAAGTGTGATCAAAATCATATGAACAAATGTTGTGAACCTGTGTCCATCAACAGATGAATGGATCTCGTCTCTTCTCTGCCATATCCTATCAGGGTTGAATTTACTCCTTGCCAGGTCTTCTCACAAGACTTTCAGGATCGAGTAATTCCTGGACAAGAAGCAAAAGTAGGATTGTCCCATTCCTCAAAGGATTTAAATGAAAACTGGTAATAAAATCAGGTACAACTACAAGAGAAGACATTGGAGAAGAAGCAGGCTGGGTCTATAAGGAGCCCCCTTGGGAGGTGGCACAGATTTATGCTATGTCAAGGTCACTTGCATCTTAGTGTATCACTCTGAGAACATCACTACTGTCTGGAAAGCTGGATGAGTTTTAGTGGGAAATGATTCTTCTCTTTGTGTCAGTGTTTCTGCACTAGTGCTTTGGCTTAGTGATAAATATGTGAGACCTTTTGTTGGGAAAAAAACAACAACAGGTGAAAGGATAAAGAAGATGTGGTATACTGAAGACTTTCCTGGTGGTCCAGTGATTAAGACTCTGAGTTCCCAGTGCAGGGGGCCTGGGTTTGATCCCTGTTCGGGGAACTAGATACCACATGCTACAGCTAAGAGATTGCATGCCGCAACCAAGATCTGGCACAGTCAAGTAAATAAATAAATATTTTAAAAAGAAAATGTGGTGTATATATACTCAATGGAATATTACTCAGCCATAAAAAGACTGAAATTCTGCAATTTACAACAATGTGGATAGACATAGAGATTACTATGCTTAGTGAAATCAGTCAGATAGGAAAGGAAAAATACCACATGTTATTACTTACATGTGATGCCTTTTTTTGGCCATAAAGTTTGCAGGATCTTAGTTCTCCAACCAGGAACTGAACCTGGGTCCCCGCAGTGAAAGCACTGAGCCCTAACCACTGGACCACCAGGGAATTCCCTGTATATGGAAACTTCAAAATAAAACAAACTAGTGAATACATTTAAACAGAATCAGATTCACATATATGAGAACAAACTAATGGCTACCAGTGGGGAGAAGGGAGGGAGAGGGGCAAGACAGGAGTACAGGATTAACAGATACAAACTACTTTGTATAAAATAGATAAGCAATGGGGATTTACTGTACAGCACAGGAAAATATAGCCATTATTTTGTAATCACTTTAAATGGAGTATAATCCATTAAAATGTTGAATCACTATGTTGTACACCTGAAACTAATACCATAAATCAACCATGCAGCAGTAAAATAAACAATATGAGTAAGTGTTTCAGATGCCTAAAAAAACTGTTTCACATGCCCAAGAATTTCTCACTTCATTGATAATTTCTGGTTGGAGACATTTTGGAGCAGAGTAATGTTATACTCTTCTAGCATGATTCACCTGTTGTTTCCTTGACCTTATTTTTGAATGAATCTCTTCTGCATCTCCTAATATGAGATTTATATACTCATCAAAAGAGCTTCGCTGGTGGCAGACGTTAAGAATCCACCTGCAATGCAGGAGACCTGAGTTTGATCCCTGGGTCGGGAAGATCCCCTGGAGAAGGGAATGGCTATCCATTCCAGTATTCTTGCCTGGAGAATTTCATGGACAGAGGAGTCTGGTGGGCTACAGTACATGGGGTCGCAAAGAGTCGGACACAACTGAGCGACCAACACACACACATACTCATCAAAAGCAAGGAGATCACCCTCTATTCACATACTCACCTGTGCCTAAAGCCACACTTGAAGCCGAGATCTAGTTTGCAAGACTCTAAAGATGAGGTTGAGGACTGCACTGTCACCTTTTCGTTCCTGGCCATGGAGTAGCGAGGTGGATGCCCACAGAGACCAGGCCGACTCATCACACTGACAGATGTCAGCTCAGTGTTATCCAGGCAAAGCCCTGATCAGGAGGCTGAATCTGGGGGGACATGGGTCCGCTCTTGAAAGTCCGGGTGTTGAGGAGGTGCCTTTGTGCCACCTGCAGGCAGCCGGGGAGTGGGGGCAGCTTTATAGCATCAGAAGAACAAAAGTTTCTCCCCATTCACCACACTGACTGGAGAGGAGGGACATGAATGTCCTCAGAATCAGAAATTCTGAGGATGCAGCAGGTCAGGGGCAGCTGAGCCTCCCTCCTACTGCCCTTCTAAACCCCTCTCCCCCTACCCCTGCCCCAGCAGCTGGTCAGAGGCTGGATAGCCCCAGTTATCATTCCAGAAATAGGGGCCTACAGAGCTCACACTTGCTGAGATTAGCGAAGGGCAGAGCAGACCCTTTCTAAACACATGCCATAAGTGGTGAGCGGTACCTTTCTCTTTCGTGTTAGGAATGAAAAAGAACATAGTTGCATGTCTTGCCAGAGTGAGAGCACTGGGAGTTTTCATGCCGATAAGTCTGGAAACATAAACAAGATATACAACTTCCTAGGACGTCTGAATAGTTTCACGCCAGTAAAGTGTCCAGGCTGATCAGGGCCAGCAGATCTGCTGATGCCCTAAGCCCAGGCTGGCCAGTGAGGCTTAGCCCTCGTCAGCCTCCCTGGGGCCCTCGGCCACAATGGGCTCCAAGAGGGTCTCTGTACAAAAGCAGAAACAAGCCAAAGGGAACCCAAATGACTTCACACAGGGGCCTCCGCACTGGAGGCCCTCTCCACTCTGTTCAACACCTCTTTTTGCTAAATTCAGTGTGCTTCCAGCAAAAACTGCCAGTTTGCTGATGCCTGTACTGATCTGTTCTGGGAGGAGGGACCCACTGGGAGCCCTGCGAGTCCCTCCACAGGGAAGACCCCCGGGTGGGACCTGCCCCACATCCCAGGCTCATGGAACCCTGAGCCTCAGTTCTGTCTCTGCTAGTTGCCAAGCTCGTGATCAGGCAAGCTTGGGCCCAACTGCTGCCCCGCATACTGCCAGCTCTCTGTTCGTCCACTCTAGGGAAGGAAAGGAGCCAGGTCCCAGGCCAGGTCCTGCATGTCCTGGGAGCCCGGGAACAGGGTCTGCCCCAGTAGTCCACGACATGCTGTCCTGATAGAATCATTGGAGGCCCGGAGAAGCTGGCCATTCCAAGCTCCAAGCCTTGTGGGCCAGCTCCCTGGTAGGGGCTCCTGGAGGCCCAAACTTTCCTCCCACCTCTGCAGGTGAGAAAACAGACACCAGTCCACTGCCATGCAGCTCTGGGGATATGCTTGCAGCCTCCCAGCTCATCTCTGTTCTCAGGGAACAAAGAAGAAGGGGCTCTGGGTAGGGAGACAGCTGGGGCTGGGTGCAGAGGCTAGGTGGGTGCCAGGGCTGGGTGCTGGATGGGTGGGTGGGTGCCGGGGCTGCCCTAGCCACCTTGCTGCAAATGCAAAGGGGGCAGTGAGTTGTCCAGAGGCTCTCGACACACCCCAATGGTGGTGTGTGTGAGTCCTCTCTCTAGCATCCCCTCCACTCTCCCTCCCCACAAGGTGCGGGTTATCCCCCTCAGGTCACTGGTTAAGGATGGGCCACTGCGGGGCGGGAGGCCCCAAAGGCTACAGAGAGGCCCGGGCTGTTCAGCCCTTTGGGTCCTGCAGGGGAGGAGGGTGGCCAACCGCATCGTGAGAAACATGGCCCCACAGAGGCCAACCTGGGCTTGACAACTTATTTCTCAGAGCCCAGATCTGTCGAGGAGAACATTGCACCCCCAAAAAAGGTCCCCTTCCTCGGATTTCAGGCCCCCACCACACCCCGCAGGAGCAGTCCTTCTGTGTCCTCTGGGGCATGAACAGAGGCTGGCCCCATGAAGAGAGGACCCAGCCCGGGATGCCAAGGCTGTGGAGAGGGTGGTTCCCATGAGCACAGAGGCCCAGGAGGGCAGCTGCCGCCCCGACCCTCTCTTGCTCGGACAACCCAAACAACACGGTCACCTGCTCATCCCATGACCCTCCGTGCTCGGAGTCTGAGGGGCCCCATGCCAACTGCTCTCTCAGGACCCTGATGGGGTGCAGGGGGCCACCCTGTCTAGAAGCGCCCTCCCCCCCAAGAGGTTTCCTGGATGCCCCTGTGGTTGCTCCAGCCTGGTCAACCACCCCCTGCCCCACCACCGCTTGGCGGAAGCATTTCCCACAGGTCCTGGAGATCGGCCCCAACATGAGGTGTGAGCTGGGTGGGCTCCCCTGGATGCCCCTCCCCGAGTAGGGGCAGGGACCACAGGGACACCATGGGTGACCAGCAGCCTCCAGGGATCTGAGGGGGCAGGTGGCATGTGGAGAGAATGAAGGCCACGGAGGCTTCTGGGGTCACCCGTAGACGGTCAGCCTGACATCTCCAAGGAGGAAGCCAAGACCGTCTGACACTGACTTTTCTTCTATTTGTGGTCGTGATATGAAGTCTCCTCTGAGTGGATTTAAAAAGAACATCCAGCAAATAACCACACGGCTGGTGAAAGTCAAAGTGTTAGTTGCTTAGTCATGTCCGACTGTTTATGACCCCATGGACTATAGCCCGCCAGGCTCCTCTGTCCACGGGATCCCCAGACAAGAATACTGGAGTGGGCTGACAGTACCTTCTCCAGGGGTCTTTCCGACCCAGGGATTGCACCTGGGTCTCTTGTATTGCAGGTAGATTCTTTACTATCTGAGCCACCAAATATATTGACAACCAAAAAGTGGAGCTTCAGGCAGGGAAGTGTGCCTGAGCTGGACCTGTGGGGGCTGTATGGAGGCCTGTCCCCTCCTTCCCTGCCACGTCCTCAGGGCCAGCCCCAGCTGGATCTCCCAACAGGGGATCCGAGAAACCATGTTTTCCTTGCCCAGAAACGGCTTCCTGTTTCCTGCGCTCTTGCTCACAATCACTGGCCATGGCCTCCCCCTTGCCTTGCTGGCCCCTCACAGGCAGCTCAGCCCCCCAATCAGTCTGTGTCCACAGTTCACAGCTGGAGCCAAGGGATAGTGGGCCAGGCTGCCCACCTGCTGTCTGAGGCCCCCAGACCCCAGCCAGGGTAGGGGCAAGTAGGGCTGAGGGAAGATGCTCACGTGTTCAGGGAGGGGGTGTTAGGCAGAAGGAGTGACCTGGGGTTCTTGGAAAGAGAAGGGGTCAGGGTGGAGGGTGGGAGGTCAAGTTGGGGAGGTCAGTTGGGCCTGCAGGCCACGCATTTGTGGAACTCAGTTGCAATGGTGAGAAAACTGGTGTTCTACTATTTAAACAAGAGGGGTTTCCTGGCCTCTGTGACTGTGAAGCTCAGAGGTGGGCTTGCTTCAGACAAGTTGGATCCAGACACCTGGTGCAAATACTCTGGTAGGTTTCTTGCCTCTCTCTGGGGGTGACTTCATCCACAGACCGGCTCTTCCCACAACACCTTCTGGTCAGCAGCTGGATGTCTACCCTTGCCAGGGGAGCAACCACACTTTCTGTGAGCTTTGGCAAAGGCTTTCAGGCCAGGCGGACCGTCTGACTGGCCAGGTTGGGTGCTCCTCCAACCCCTGGGTAAGGTGGGTGAACCCATCTAAAGCCCCACAGCCTGAGAGTGGAGAATGGAGGCCCCCAATAGGGAAACAGAGGCACTGGCACTGGAAGGCAGAACAAACGTGGGGCAGGCAGGTGCTACCCGCCAAAGACGTGGTGGGGGTGGGGGTGTTGGGTTTGGTTTTAGTTCACATGCTGGTTCCTCTCTGTCTGCTGACCCTCCCCTGTTCCCTGTGCCCAGCAGCCAGCCTCAATGTCTGCATAGCCCAGGCTCTGTCCTCTGGTCTCCAGTGGGAATGCCCAGGAAGCTGGTTCCAGCCAAAGTAGGGTCTCTTTGTGGGAAGGGAGCAACCGTGATGGGTGGACAGTTGGTTAAAGGCGGGCCTTCTGGTCTTTGCAGTCTTGCCCATTTGCCCTTTCTGGTGGGAGAGAGGCCACCAGGGCCACACTTGGCTACATGAGGGCCATGAGTGCTGACCTTGACTTCTCCTCCCCTTCCCTTAGTGGGGAAGGAATGACAGAAGCTCCAGCTGCTCCTGCAAACTCCATGAGCTCCTGCTTCTGGGTGGGGGGCTGTCAGGCAGGGGCTCTGGAGAGGAGATCTCGGGCTGGTGGATCCAAGATCCGAGAGGGGCCATCTCTGTGGGGCTAGGAGAAGGGACCCAGAATCCACCCACATTCCTCACAGGCTGTGGCTGGTGACAGAGGGGGTTCCCGCCCCTCTGCAGAGCTGAGCCCTAGGACCGGGACTTTGCAGAACTAGAGATGGAGACCCTGCTGGCCACTGGCAGGGACAGCTGCAGAGGTGGGTGTGGTGGCTGATGTGAGGTGAAGGGTGGATCTCTGGGGGAGTTTGTTTGCTTTACCAGCCCAGAACCCTCCGCTGGGAAGCAGGGCTTTGTCACACTTGCCCCCCGCCCCAAGCCTGCAGCAGCTCCACATACCCTGGATAGGACGAGCAGAACATACCCCCCCTCCCCCCAACCTGCTCTTTGCCCAGACATGCTGTGCAGAGTCAAACACAGATGGGGAAACAGCAGAGCCCGCAACCCCATGCCTGGCCCATCCCTCCAGCCAGGAGCTGCCAGACCAGGAAGCTCAGCATTTGGTGTGTGAGCCCCCAACCACAGAACAAACTCAGGGCATGGGTGCCAGGCTCCCCAGGGACGTCTGAGGTTGGATCTAACTGGACTTCTCCCCTCACCCCCGATCAGCTACAAAAGCTCTGAACAGTCCTGTTTCCACACATCTCAGGCATGGGCAGGTGAAGTGGTTACCCGGCTGCTCTCTGGCCCAGAGGGCCTGGTATTGGAGACCGGGACCACCACAGAGCATGGCCCCCTCTGACCACTAACCCCTCGGGCAGAGCAACTGCAGCAGCCTCAGCTCCCCCTGGAAACCTGGTGTGAGCAAGCTGATCCAGGCCCCAGAAAGCTGAGGGTGAGGACATGGGGGTCCCTGTAACTTTCTGCCTTCCTGGGGGAGCTCCTGAGTCCCCCATGACGCTGGGCAAGAGGCTGAGCCCAGCCCCATCCCCACCTGCAGAAGGAGCAGAAGCCAGAGGCAAAGCCAGGGTGCATCTCTCTAAATCCTCACCCAACCCCACCCCAGCAGGTGCAGAAAACTGGGGAGACCCTGCTCGGGATCTGAAGGAGCCAGAGAGGCCTGGCGTTGAGGGGTAGGAGTGTTGGGCCTGGGTAGGGGGGCCGTTAAGCCCTGGCTTCAGGCTCGGGTTGAGGTCTTGCTATCCAGTGCTGACACAGAATTCAGAGGGGTGACCAGGAAGTGGTGAGGGGGGTGGAAGTAGGATGCTCCATGGGCAGGTGCATGGGGAGGAAGGACTCAGTGAGTGCTGGAGACCACCTCGTCCCTCCCCTGTGTTCTCAGGTGAGAGCAGCACCTGGAAGGGGCTGCGGGGGAGACCAGGGTCCACAGGACAGTGGCCAGGGACCCCTCCCCCTCGCTGCTCAGAGCTGTGCTCCCAGCACGTGAGGCGCTCCTGCTTCACATCCAGTCAGGTCAGGCAGGCTTGGCTAGGAGCCCCCTGGCCCTGGAGAGGCATCCCGACCGAGGGGGGCGGGCTCCGGTCTCCGGCCCAGGCTGAAGACAGGAGTTGGGGGGAGGTGTGTGCCCTTCCTTTCCGGGGTAGTGAGGTCCGCCTGCTGCATCGGGTCGGCTTATGGAGGGTTGTTCCTTTTGTGCAGTCCTGCTCTCTTCTCGGAGATCCAGAGGGCTGCCCCAGGGCCCATCTGCGAGGAGCTGAGGGAGAGATTAATTAGAGTGGCCCACCCTGTAGCTGCCTCTTTGATGCAGAATGAATAGTTTTCAGATGAAGAAGCCTCTTCTCGCTGGCGCCCCTCCCAGGTCGGCGCAGTCCACCTCCCAAGGAGCAGAAGCTCGGGGAGGGGGATGGGGGGCGTTTCCATCCTCACCCCTTCCAAGTTAGGGCATGTGGGACCCTTTCTTTGCCGGTCGCCACCGTGGGTCTGGGATGCGGCGGCGTGAAGCCGCGCGCGCTCCAGGCCGCTGGTTCCCCCTACCCAGAGGCACACCGCATGGCCTAGGCATGGCCAAGGAGAGTCGCGGAGCTGCCCCCGTGGGCCACGACTCGAGACCCCAGTCCGCCAAAGCCACGGAAAAGCCATAGAAAAGCCTGGCAGGGCGAGAAGTGGCAGGGCTCCGAAGGGCGCTCACACGGCAAGAGGCCAACAGGCACAGCGGCCTCGGCGCAGCTGGCCACAGCCGGCCCCTGCCCCACTCGCGCGGCCGCCCCCTCTCCGAGATCCGATCTCCGGGTGGCTGCGGCCCAGCGAGGGTTAAGGGGGGCGGGACGTGGGGCGGCCCCGCCTCCGCCGCCGCGCCGGGTCCGAGCGCGCACTGGGCGCGGGGGCGGGTCGGAGCGGGCGGCGGCGGAGGGCGCGGCGCGCCGGGCGAGCGCGGGGAGCGGCGGCGCGGCCCGCGTGACCCACCGCCCGCGCCCGCGAGCCCGCGCCCCGCCGCCGCCCGGTCCAGCCGCAGGATGCGCGCCCCGCCGCTGTTGCTGCTGCTGGCCGCCTGCGCGCCGCCGCCCTGTGCCACGGCCGCCCCGACGCCGCCGGGCTGGGAGCCGGCGGCCGACGCGCCCTGGTGTCCCTACAAGGTGCTGCCCGAGGGCCCCGAGGCGGGAGGCGGGCGCCTGTGCTTCCGCAGCCCCGCGCGCGGCTTCCGCTGCCAGGCGCCCGGCTGCGCGGCGCACGCCTCGGCCGGCCGCTCACTGCGCGCCAGCGTCCTGCGCAACCGCAGCGTGTTGCTGCAGTGGCGCCTGGGGCCGGCCGAGGCGCGCCGCGTGCGCGCCTTCGCGCTCAACTGCTCGTGGCGTGGCGCCTACACGCGCTTCCCATGCGAGCGCGTGCTGCTCGGCGCCTCCTGCCGCGACTACCTGCTGCCAGACGTGCACGACGGCGTGCGCTACCGCCTTTGCCTGCAGCCGCTGCCGCTGCGAGCCGAGCCGGCTGGCTCCCCGGAGCCCGCCGCACCCGCCGAGTGTGTGGAGTTCGCCGCCGAGCCTGCTGGCATGCGGGAGATCGTGGTGGCCATGACGGCGGTGGGTGGTTCTATCTGCGTTATGCTCGTGGTCATCTGCCTGCTCGTGGCCTACATCACCGAGAACCTCATGCACCCAGCCTTCGGGCGCCCGGGCCTACGCAGGCAGCCTTGAAGCGCGAGACGCCTGCCCGCCCGGGCTCTGCCTGCCCGACTAGGGCGCAGGAGGCCCCGAGCCCTCGGCCCGCTCTCCCCTCGTCGCTCCTGCTCCCTCTTTAGGACCTCCACACAGGGCCTTCTGGAGATGGATGGGGCACCGGCCCTTACCAGGGCCTGGAGTCACCGGGCGACCTTCTCAGCCGAGCAGCTGACTCCCAGATTCCAGTTCGGTACTGGCCCTTGGGCCTGAAGAGAGGTACCAGCCGTGTCCAGGGCTCTCCCTGCTCTTCAGAGGCCTTTGGCGGGGCCGTGAGACCACAGAGCCCCTTTTCAGAAGAGCCATCGGCAGCCCCTGGCCGTCACCCTGCGCCTCCAGCCCGTGCCGAGTTGGAAAAAGCCACGCTGTCGTCATGGCTTGGTCACTGTGTACTTGACCAACTCAAGGGCCCTCGGAGCCTGTCCTCTCCCCGCCCCGCCCCAGTGGGTTTAGGTAGCTTTGTGCCTTAGTATCTCGGGCCCATTGCGGGAGCCAGCCACCTGTCCAGTACTGTCTGAAAGGATCTGCGGCCTCGATGCTGGCAGCTCGTGTGTGCTTCTGGCTAGAGCCCCCTGGGGACCCTCCCTTTAAGCTTTGCAGGAGTGATTGGCCTGGGGAAGCAGGGTCCTGCTGCGTTTCCTCGTTTGAGCATCCTACAGGTTGGAAGCTACGGCTTAGCTCAAAAGGCGGCCCAGCGTTCAGCTGTTGTATCCAGGGTGAGTGTCCCTGACCTTGGGGGGAAGCTGGTGCTTTGCCTGGGCTGGGTTCCTTCCCTTTCCTTTTGCGTTTCTGGCGAGGACTTGCCTTGGTGACTGGGCAGGTGGCTGGGAAGATGGGACTGGTCTGAAAAAACGGTGTTGTGTGCAGAGGGCACAGGACAGATGCCAACCTTGCCCGGCTGGACCTGCCACTGTGGTCTGGATCCCAAGCCTCAACCACAGCATGACGGACGGTATGGTCCACCCCCTCCTAGAGCTGCTGGAGATGCTGCTGCCTGCCGGGCCCCTCCACCCTCTCACCACGGACTGAAGACCGGCCTCGCCCCTCTGTGGGCACCAACGACATGACAACGCCGGGCTGTGTGTGAGCCCTTGACTCTGGCCGTCCTGGACCTGGCACTTCTGGAGTCACTGTGGCTAACTCCTCCCCGCTCCCCCCAGCAGCCACCAGTGACCTCCACACCAGCAACCTGGCTGGTGCCCCCGCAATGCCCACTCCCTACCTCTCTGTCCTTGCTCTGCCCATCCCTGGTGTGGCACTGGCCAGGTGTGAGCCTGGTGCCAGTGTCTAAATGTCCATCATTCTTAGACCAAAACCACTGTTTTGTGTACTTATTTGTGACAGGGTAGAGAAAGGGTAGGGGGGAAGTTGAGCCTCTTTTCCTGGCTCCTCAGGCATCAGTCAGTCCAGTGGCTGGCCCTGGACCCTTTGCCAGGTCACCTGGGGTCAACACAGGCATGCTGCCCTTGCAGTTTGTGGCGGAGGAACAGGCAGCATGTCCCTGGCTAGCCCGTCCACCTGGGGAGCTGGGGAAAGCATCTTCTCCCGGCCTGCTCTGTTGGGTGGGGGCAGGGTGGCACTGCTGCAGTTTGAAAGAGCCCAGTCTTAGGGATGATCTACTGGAGCTAAGACAAGCTGCAATTAGGGGCCTCCAGGTGGGCCCCCTCCCTGGCCTGGGTCTCCCCACGTGGTGCTGGAGCTGGGCTGGGGGGCACAGGTCACAAGCAGGGCCCCTCTGGCCCTTTCCCCACCCCCACGCTGGGCCTCCCCCACCTAGGCTAGGGTGTCCTTGAGATTCTGCAGCTGGCAGTGACCCTTCTGAGCAAACACAACTGTGGGCGGGCCAGGCTCTGAGGAGTGACTCATCCCTGCCACCAGATGGCGGGGGTGTAGTGCAGTGTCTAGACAGCCCTGGGAGTGGGAGGGGTTTTACTTCATCCTGGCTTCCTGGGGACCTTCTGCATCCCCCTGCCACCTGTGAGGGCGCTCAGGTGTCTTCCACAGGCAGGCAGTCCAGCCTCCAGCTCCTGTGTGCAGCCGGTTTCAGAGCTGGGGCCACCATGAAGTTGTTGGAGGTCTGCCCTGGACCCTTCCCTCGCCCTGCACCCAATCTGGTCTGTGGCCCTGATTGAATTCATGTCAGGTAGAGCCTCAGGCCTATCCTCCCAGCTGATTCTTCAGACTGGTCAGCCCTAACCTGCAGGCTTCTGCTTCAGAGATGACTTTGCAGGGCTCTGTTCAGGGGCTTCTTAGAGGCCTAGCGCCCAGCTCAGGGCTGTGGGGCAGGGGGAGCAGAGGCTCCAGAAATAATCTGGAGCTGGTGTTCAGGAAGACCACTTCTGAACCCTTGCCATCTCTGAAACTGCTCCTTTCCCCAGTGGCCCCTCGGTCCTCCCTAGGGGGTGCAAGGGACACTCAGGCTTCTGTCCTACCGAGTCTCCAGTCCTCCATCCCCACCACGTCCTGGAGGAGCTTCTCTCCTTTCCCCACCACCCTCTCTGACTCATGCAGGGCTGGTGGGGGAACATACATCTTCCCTATGCCCTGGAGGTAGGGTCCTGATGCCCATTCCTTGGTCAGGACTTCACCCTCCTCACTGGTGCCTGAAGGTTACTTCCCTAAGCTTGTGATTTTTCTGCTGTGGGGCAGAAAGAAATGTTGGGCTTCTGAAACACTGAAGGGTTGCCTAGCTGTAGGCCTGGCCTGGCCTGGCCTTTAAAGAGCCACACACAGCTATCAGTGCCTCTGTCTCATCTGTGAAGTGCAAACAGTCATAGGACCAGACTCAGAGGCCTGTTTGGAGGCTTACATGAGGTCAGCCAGGCAGAGAAGAGTTAAGTGTGTTTGTTACTGTCTATGCCATGACCTGACATGCATCTGGGCCGAGATCCTGAAGGCTGCATGCATAGCCTGATCCTGCTCAGAATCCTGGGGTCCTTGAGATTCTGCTACCAAACGCACGCCCTCTGGTGCCCAGACCTGCCCCACAGTTTGTGTTCCACACTCAGCCAGCAGGAGGGATCCACAGTCATTCTGTGAACACGTGCCCATTGCCCTGTGTGGCTGGCACTGGAGCCCTGGCAATGACACCTGGAGGCTAGATGCTTGCTTGCTTGCCTGCCTGCTCAGGCCCCTCCCCACAGCCCTCAGGCAGCTGCCTGTGCCATTGGTCCACTGGATATTCTGGCCTCCGTCCTCTTAGGAGAAACCAGTTTCATCTGTGCTGGCCTGTGAGGACCTCATGTTCCTGGGGGCTGGTCAGCTATGGGACACAAAAATGTGCAGACAGGATTGGGTGCAGTGGAGGAAACATCCCTCCATGGGGCAGGGTGTGGGGTTAGCATTTCCCTGGAGATCTCAGATCATTGGTCCGGGATGTTGGACTTGGTCCAGAGGGACAGCCAGAGAGCCACTGGAGACTGTGGCCTGGGGGATGTGGGGTTTGGTCACTTCAGCTTAGAGAGTCTAGAGAGTTCTGGGCCCTGACAGCAAGAGCCTCCTCCAGCCTCGCTGCACCTTTTTGGGGACCAGGAGTGTGTCCTCGCTGAGCCAGCTGAGAGAGAAGGTAGCAGCCCCCTTCCAGGGAGGGGTCAGGCTGCACCTGACCTGAAGGCAGGAACCCAGGGGCCACATGCACAGACTTCTTTCAAGGGCCCAGATTTCCTTCTCCGTTCGAGATGCAGCTCAGATGGTAAAGCATCTGCCTACAATGTGAGAAACCTGGGTTCAATCCCTGGGTCGGGAAGATCCCCCGGAGAAGGAAATGGCGACCCACTCCAGTACTCTTGCCTGGAAAATCCCATGGACAGAGGAGCCTGGTAGGCTACAGTCCATGGGGTCGCAGAGTCGGACACGACTGAGCGACTTCACTTTCTTCACTTTCACTTTAGAGATGCTAGTTCATTTCTACATTGTATTGGCTGTCTTTTCAAATCTTCATTTTTTTTCCAGTGGTCTCAGTAAAATGTCCCCTTCATTTCTGATGCAGGGTGTTCTTTCATAACTCCTATCCTTTTCCTGTTTGGCTTACAATGAAATATTTGGTTAAAATGTCTGTCTTGAGGGCATGTCTTTCTGGTTTGTCTTCTCTATCTATAGGGATGTCAGCATGCTTCTTTTTTCTTTCTTAAAATATATTTGGCTGTGCTGGGTTTGTTTCTGCATGTGGAATCTTTAGTTACAGTATGTGATATCTAGTTCCCTGACCAGGGATTGAACCCAGGCGTCCTTGCATTGGGAATGAAGTCTTAGCCACTGAACCACCAGGGAAGTCCCTTTTTTTCTTGAGAGTCTGGATGTGAGTCAGTCACTGCTTTGTCCTCTTGGTCACATATAACAGAGTCAGGTTTCCCTCACTCTTAGGTGGGGAGTGGGCGGGCTGGATTGGTGTCTATAACGTCCCAGCTCTGCTATTAACCATGTGTTAATTACATGGCCTCACCTGTCTGGGACCTGCCTTTCTTTTCCTCCCCAAACTTTATCTGGACTCTCTTCTTCCTTTGCCCCGGTGTCTCTGTTCCGCTCAATTAGGATTCCAGTCTGACAAATTCTCCCCATGCCTGTTCCCTTCCCTCCTGGCAATCACTCTGATGTTGTGCTGCTCACCTTGTTTTGTTTTTTTTTTACTCTATACCGTGTCTTTGAGATTTATCCATGCTGCAGAATGCACAAATATCTCATTTCTGTCCATTATGTGCAATTTCTAGTGTGTGTCCCTCAGGCTGACTTGTCCTCACCCCTGGAGGAACACGGGTGGCCGCCATGCTGATCACTGTGTCGCCATGAAAACCCTTGTTCATACTTCTCAGGGACCTGTGTGAGGATTTTTCTAGGCGAGAGAACTGTGGATCTTAGGGGTGTGTGTACCTCATTTCACCAATATTTTCAGCTTGTTTTTAATGGCTAAAGCCATGCAGGGAGGTTTTGACTTACTGATGTCTCACAGGTGCTCCGCACCATTGTGTCCTATCTTGTGCTCA